GTGTGTGTCCTTCTTGCAGGAATAGACCTTCTTCACCTCTCATTTCCTCCATTCTTCTTCTTCTATCTGCTTCATTCTCCTTCTGATAAATAATTGTCGTTAAATGGTAAACGCAGTTGCTATTTTTGGCAATAGAAACAAAGAAAAATAGACAAGTTCATTCATCAAATATAAATGATCTTTATCCAACAACACAAATCATTTAAAAAAAAAGCAGTGGAAATTATTTTCATTCCTAAAACATATAATCTTTGTTTTACTTTGGATTTCAGTTAATGGTATCAACAAATAACAATACATTCCAAGACAAGAACTGGGCTAATTTCAGGCAAATAAATAACACAAAAAGGCTATCTTCTTAGAATTCTGATAACCACATCTCAAAAGACAAAGAGAAATCTCTTATGTTAAACTCAGCTCAGCATCTGGTCGCTTTGTGTTTCCATTGACAAGAAATCTTTTGAAAAACTAAAAGCAAGGCAGAGTTAAAGGTAAAGAACTCAGGAAATAAATGTTCCATATCAGGATCATGCAAATAAAATGAATCATTTATTCCATATTGCTACAGTTAATTTGAGTCTGTTTACCAAATAATGCCAATTAAACTAAATTTCTAGTAGTTGGAGTTGTCTTTTTCACTCTTCATTGTTTCTCTCCTCCCAGTTAACAAGAATGCACTGAGCCATGTGATTTGTATTTTGTAGAAAAACTCTCCCAGACTCAAATCTTATGTACTTACTGCTGCTAACAGAACATACACAGAATCACATGTTGGTAAAAGTGGGTCAGACTTAGAAGATATTAAAGCTGCCATGTGTGCACTGAAATACCATTAATGTCATTTATAGATTTATACACAACTCATAAACAAAACAACTCCAACAGAAAAACATTGAGTCAGACATTTGAAAAAGGTTCATATTGCTAAAGAGTTAGAATACACGTGGAGCAGAATTTGAAGTAAGGACAGGAAGTTTTAAGTAGATTACCAAATACTTCGAAACACCATACATACAAATGCATTGTGAATCTATTGGCTACAGAGAAAAAATGTCTTTCCTTTTGAAGTATTTGGCTTCTGTGTAGTTTCTATATTAAACTGTAAATATATTTTTTCGATCTGGTGTTAAAGCGACAGGCACTTATCATTTTCAACAAGGAATGTGAACAGAGTTTTTGATGACTGGAGTTTTTATGATTGAACAACATTGTTTCCCTGAAATGTTTTCAACGAGGGAAAAACATGGGAAACTTTAAAAAAAAATTAAAAGTCTGATTTTAACATGTAAACTCATATCTCATTTGGTGTTTGACAAATTAAAATATTAACTAAAATAACAATACACCTTTATCAACCTTTATGTGGCAATATCCAGATTGGCAATGATGTCAGGCTCAAGTAACTTTAGCTATAAGATCAGCTCAAGAAAACTATTTAATATACAAACTGAATCAAATAAAAAAAACATCATCTAGGATGTTACAGAACGTACAGTTATATTAAAACAACATATTTTCCTCAGATGAACCAAAAACATGAATAGAAATCTATTGCTTTAAAAGCATGCATCTCTTTAAAGTGCAAAAAACATTCATTGGCTCAGATCAGTAAAATCAAAACTGCATAATTTACATTCAACAAAAGAAGATGGCACAATAAAACTGCAGTCACATAAACAAATAGTACAAAATGAAATATTTGGCACATAAAATCAAATCATACCAAGGTAAATAACACATGTAGCTTTGACTGTTACACAAAAACCTTTTCATAAACCTTTTTTTTTGGTGATGGGTCCTTTCTTTACATTTTCTTGCAAATCGTTTTAATATAAATATATGTGATACTTGACAACTGCATTGGATCAAAGAGCGGCATATGTGTGTGTGTATATATACACATTTAATGTAAAAAGTGTGACTGTAGCCATTGTTAAAAGCCGAGGCAGGACAACTCACCTGGATCGTCCACCACCAATATCTGCAAATTGGGGAAAACACATCTGCTTCTGTTTTTGATAAAATCATGCGTGGGATCTATTCAAATAACAGAAATACAAATGTCTTTTTCTCTGTAAGCTCAGACTTTAAACATCCTGTTGAGATCTGGTCATGATGGTGGGTTTCATTACACTGGAGGCTGACCACAACGTTGTGGCTCCAAAGCTGCGTGGAGCATTGATCCAGTACTATGTACTGCTCCCGTAATGAATGACGTAATAGTCATGGACATACATCAACACGGCGACAGGCTGGCCAATGATGAGGGAGATCCACACGGCGGCGTTTCCATAGATTCCATTTAGGAAACGACCCACAAACCAAGCCAGAGGAACCTGCAGAGGTTAAAGCTGAGAGGTCAAAATGAGCTCGTGCACAGGCTTGTGTAAAAGTGTGCTGGCAGGGGATGGAGTGCAGATGAGAGAAAACAGATATTTGTGACAGTTCAACGTGTCTCACCTGAGCCATCATTCCCATAAAGGCCCAGAGTCTGAACATCTTCAGAGGAACACTCATCAGGTACTGAAGAGGACAGACACAACGGAACAAGGATTTTTTATCATAAAAACTCTTAATGCAATCTTTGTTTTCTTTTTATGCTTGAGGAGTAAATAGATGTGTTTTCAATCCAGAGGAAGAAACTGTAAGGGAGTCAGTTCCTTGAACTTTTTCAAATAAGAAATGACATTTTAATTAACATATCAGTGATGGTAAATTACATTAATTACACAATGTTCTCTGTTGTTTCTGATTTAAACAATTGTCCAAAACAAACTGTTCCCTAAAGGAGGATTGTTGTCAGTGTTGTGGATTTACCTCGTGGAAGAAGGCTGACACCAGGAAGACTGCGGTTTGAGCCAGAAACTTGTTGACCCCCTTCCTCAACATTGGCTTATAGAAGTGTCTGTAACAAACAAAGACTGTAGCTCACAGGCACTTAACAAATCCTGCTGACCATTATCTCTTCAATCTGAATGAAAACGTATGACGGGTTAGTGACTCTTGTGGTGTTTTTTTTCTCTATTCGTGAAGAAAGACAGACAGTGAGACAGGATCAGTGGATAATTTGTGCAGCCCTACGCGACCTGTGTAAGGAGCACATGAGGCCGTCTGAATCTGGGTCTAGATGGCCTGTCACACAGTGTGTATACACTGTTAGGTTTTTAATTTCAAAGATAAGATAGGTGCTTCTGTTGCAGCGACAGAGAACTCTAACCCTAGAGTAGCTCAACATGAAGCCAAAACATCAAACAAGGTGTAAATGTTGAAAAATGACGCTCACCTGAGACACCACTTGTGTACTGGGATGTTCCAGTTGGCCCAGAAGTAGGTGACAGTCTCAGAGTTCCTAAAATGAACAAGATACATGGTCTGTTGGCACGTACATAATTGTTTTCATTAGCACATTCAAGACGAGCTAGCTAAATGGAAAAAAATCGAATCAAATTACTGACAAACGGAGCATGTGTGCCTGTTTTCATGTCTTGTCAGAGTATCCTAAAATGTACGAATATTGTTGCATGTGAACAAATACTTCTACTGTACGAACTCTGTACTCACCACCAGTCCCTGTAGAACTCTCTGTCTCCAAACTGCAGCAGCTCTGCCACAAAGTTCATAGATGAGTGGAAAAACCAATAAAAGAATATTAACCATATCAGATGGTTAGGGACCTGGGAGAGGAGAGGAGAGGAGAGGAGAGGAGAGGAGAGGAGAGGAGAGGAGGAGGAGGAGGAGAGGAGAGGAGAGGAGAGGAGAGGGGAGGAGAGGAGAGGAGAGGAGAGGAGGAGGAGAGGAGAGGAGAGGGAGAGGWGAGGAGAGGAGAGGAAGAGGAGAGGAGAGGGAGAGGTGAGGAGAGTGGGAGAAATCGGGGAAAGATGTGTGGGTGTGTTGCCATGTTGCTACTCCTTCTATCAGATATACACATTAACTTTCGCCTGACAACTCCAGGGTTTCATTTTGACAGGTTAAGTGATGAAATAATAATCCTGTTCGACCCTGTGATGATACTCACTGCTAATTTCAACAGGCGCTCCACCATCCGAGAAAAGTCCATCTCCTGTGAGACACGAGAATATTACATTCTTTCTTCAAGAAGTTGCAGTTGCAGCTTTAAGTGTCTTTATGTTTTAATTCCTTGTAGATACTGAAACAATTCAATTTACAGTATATGATTTCAATTTAGGCCAGAGGTTGTTAGCCAGGCTGCAGGAAGGGGATTATATATAAGGGTTAAGTGTTTGTATGTACAGTATGCTCACCTGGAATGGTTTCATTGAGTTCTGTATAGTGGGAACCATCCACTGAAAGAGACACATTTCAATGAATTAATGTTGTTTGAAATATGAAAAGACTTTGATTCAAGTAGTTCGTATCATTTTTATATTTATATTTCATTGTTTTGCTGATGATTTGCTAACTTTGCACTTTTCACTTTTCATTTCATTTCATTTTGTGAAGCATCTTGTACCTTTGTTTGGAAAGCCGCTTCAGTAATAAGTTTGTTATTATTAAATAATTATTAAATCATATAAATATTGTACATACCTGCTGTATCAATCCCACCAACAGCTGCATGAAGAAAAGCTGCAAGAAAGAGCGAGTTATGATTGAAAGAAAACATGCATGCCTGTCATCTAAATGACATTGTCAACTGTGCCTGCGTGTGTGTGCGTGTGTGTGCGTGCGTGCGTGTGCGTGTGCGTGCGTGTGCGTGCGTGTGTGTGTGTGTGTGTGTTTTCCCTCTCACCATTTCAAAAAGTCTCCTCATCAGGAACCTCTTACGTATTCGAGGTGACCGTGGGAAGTTGAGCTGGTAACAGAGAGTTGGGGCAAACACAAAGTAGTACATGTCTGAAGACAAACAAAGAAATAAGGTATTAATAATATTCATTATTGAAATGTTTTATTATAAACTGTGCAGTTCATGTGTGTGCAGGCATCACGGCGTCACCTCTGTGGGTCAGGTTTCCTGGGTAGGAGACATGAGTGTGAACTGCTGAACCATTGGACTGAGCCACAGACGGACCTGAGAAACACACAAATACAGATGGTAACAAACTGCTTGTCTCTCTAATGAGCTGAATCTCCATTAACTATCATTCCAATGTTTTTCTACTGTTGTTCCTGAAAAATGAAAAGGCAATTTTAAGGGTTACTCGTGCAATGTATAGACGGAAAGTCATCATGTTGCATTCATATTCAAGAATTAAAATAACTTAAAAATACATAGTGTTAAAGTCAGATATTACCTATCTGTATCGGTTTGTTTGAAACCTTGTGTGTTTTGGCCAAAAAAACGTACATTTACCACTAGATGGTAGTAACAGTACACAAATGTCAAACTCAAAATAAACATTCTGTTCAGTGAGCAGAGACACAAGTGTGAATCCATTCTTCGATTTATTCACAGCATCATGAGCTGTTTCTAGGCCTCGGTCGAGATGATTCAACATTTGCTGTGTGTGTGTGTGTGTGTGTGTGTGTGTGTGTGTGTGTGTGTGTGTGTGTGTGTGTGCGTGTGTGTGCGTGCGTGYKTGKGTGTGTGTGTGTTTATTTATATACTTACATGAGTATGATCGTGTCAGTCTTTTGGCTTTGGCTTGTCTGATTTCTCTACACCACCTGTTGGTGTCTTGGTAGGAGTACATTTTGAGAAACAGCACTGTGTAGACACCTAGGGACAGGACGCCACCCACTGACACATGCACACGCACACACACACACACACACACACACACACACTGGTTATTGACTAAGAGCAATAAAATATAGATGAAAGGTCATCACTTTAGATCACTTATCATTTGATTGTCAATTCTGAAGCAACTGACCCATATTTTTGCCTTAGCATCAAAATATGCACATTAACACTCTTATTAAAAAGTCCTTTACATGTATATGTCATATAAGAAATCTCCTGTATCTATTTACATGTACCTGGGGTGATGGAGCTCACAGAGAGCACTGTGGCTGAAGGAACGATCAACAAAGATATCAGGTTAAAAACGTGAAGGATCAGTCCTGTTGTTTGGGAAATGGTGCCCTGAAAAGATGAAAGAAGGAATTGATAAAGGAGTGAAAAGCACATTTTCTTCACTGTGCAAAATGAGGGCTCATGCTTCATTCAAATAAAATACTGTACCCGTCGTATATAATCTAATCTGGATCAGAAGTGTTGTTCATATCAAGGTTAAGAGCAGATATAAAAGGGGCAGGTGCTGGAGTGTGGAATTTAAATTGTAGACTCGAGAAAGTGTCAAGATCCTGTTTCTCACAAACATCCTCAAAGTTCTCTTATAGCTTCATCTAACAGTGCAGATGCAATTTTGACCAAATCCCTGAACAAATATAATGTCAAAGTTCAAAAAGAAGAAAAATGTTTGTTCAGAAATAGGTCAACTTTGAACTGTCCATAATGGTTGAAATGTTATCACAGGATATAAATGAAAATTAGTTTTGTCCAATGTGCAAAAAAGTATGAAAATCACTGTGAAGACTCACCAGAGCCAGACGTCTCTCTGTGTGCAAGGCGGCTAAGATGAAGACATTAGATGCTGGAACATTGAACATAGAAAACCTTTTTTACAACAGCTACACAGACTGATGATGTTAAATTTATTTCATTGTTGTTTCATATTGTACACAGGCACCATGTAAATGTGATTAACTAGATGTAATTAAAGGTGATAGAGACACAGCACCTGTTTGGTCAGTTCAACATGAACAGGTTAAAAGTGATTCACAATATCTTTAGATAATATTAATGTAGTAAAATATAAGGTCCGTACCAATGATCAGGCAAGCTGCTGGCCAGCTATAGGGGTCCTTTAAGAAGAGAGACACCACCTGGATAGGGTCGACCAAGATGCCATACCTGGATGAGGAAACATAATAAACATGAAACAAGGCATAATAAATGTATATTATTAAATTGTGTGTAGGTGAGAGTTCACTCACTTTATAATGTTCTCCAAGAAGAGACGTGCATTACTCAGCACCTGAGGGAGACGACACAAGAGCCACAAGAGAGTCATCCACAGTCACAACTACAACCATACAAAATACATTTTAAATAGATTTCCTAGAATTCTTTGGTTCCAAATTAAAAAAAAAATTGCAAATGTTTGTTTAATAGAGAAAAGCTTGATTTGTTAAAAGTACACATAGGCATTTTGGTTGGCTGAATGGTTAATGTGCTGGCTGTGCTTTAGTTTTTTTTTCCGTCTTTAGGTAGATAACGTGCTTGAGTGTAAAGTTGTCATGTAAGTGGCCATTCACTGAATCTGGCCTTTGTTTACAGGCTAAAAATGCTTAGTGATAAATCTGGCTTATTATTTTTTTAGCACACGGCTCAGCTCATGTTTAATCTGCAGATTTGAATGTGTTTGAACAGGAATACGAACAGTCTGGTGCCGTTCAACAGTTAAAAAGTGGAAGAACAGTCGGACTAATGCAGAGCAGTTCATGGAGAGGGACACTTGCAGTATAAAAGCTTCTCTGTATCTGATATGAAGATCAGATGTGCTTCCCGTCTAAACTTAGCAACACGTTCCTTTGACCATCACACCTTGATTCCCGTCCCAACCTTCTGCTGAAAAGTTTATTATCATATTATGTATTATAGTTCAAGGTCCGGGTCCAGCTTTATCTCGGTCATCAGTTATCTGAGCTCATACTGATCTGCACTCAACAAACAGAGGGGCAACATGCATGTAGATGTAATATACACATTGTTTAGATAATTTTTATGACAGTAAAGTTTATGAGTTAAAGACACAGCCCAGATAATGACGACAGTGATACTTGAGAAGGTTGTTGTTTCACACTCGTCTGCCAAGGCTCTGCAGCGATGTGATTTTTAATCCCACTATGAATGTCGCCTGAACCAGTGACCGTAACCTTCAGCGTGGACACGAGAGCAGCGTCACGTATAACATTGCAAAATCTAACTGTGCAATATTGAAAATGGCAAAATTGTGTCTGCTCTCTCCTCCTCGTCCACAGAAAGGTCAGAGTTCAAAGTTCAGAGCAGCCCCAAGGGAGTTGGCAGGAATTCAGTTTCCTGCTCAAAGACACTTCTGCAGGGGGTAAATGAAGTGAACCCAGGCCATGTGGCTGAAGAAGCATTTCTGTCTTATTTAAAAGTATTTAAAAGTATTTGTTGTATTTATAAAACTCTGGACTATTGTCTCCATGTAGGATTTATTTCCAAAATACTTCTTTTGTATTTATAGTCAGATCCATTTTATATTCAGTAGGATTACAGCTACCTGGATATTTGGGCCTATTAAAATAACACACACATGCACGTCTCTCTATAGTTTTGACAGAATCCAAGTCTTAACCCTCAAACAGCCCATTGAATTTGTAAGGACAAGCCAAAATGTCCTCACAGTAATGGTACTGAACCAAAATTGGCCCCATAACTATAGACAGACATGCGCACACACACACACACACATCCACTGGAACAGGGTAGGCAGTTAATATCACTGAGGAAGGCCTTGTTGTCCTTAATTGACCTTAGACACACCAGTGTTGCAACAGTGGGGTTCTGCATCTGAGGCAAGGTTGAAGCAGCCAAAATCAGAATCACACTTATCATGGAGTCTACAGTACTACCAGAGTACTTTTACAGCGTTTCCAGAGAGGAAATTGCCAGGCAACCCAAACTGACCCCGAAGCTGGAATATTGAGCAACATGTTATTCAACTTCCCCTTTATATTTCATTTTTAAATGAATGAAGCTGACATTAAACTGTAACCTGATTGATCTGGATTGTAAATTACGGCAATGTCTAACAAGGACAAAACAAAACAAGCTGCTGATCTACATATGTTAGGTTAGGTTAATGTGCACAACACAAAAAGAAGCAACTCATCAGACTCACACTAAACACACAAAGACACGCCACAAGTTTTCTGTGTAAATGTAACAGGTTCAACTAGTCCTGAGCCCCAGGAGGAAGTGGAGTGTGGGCTGCTACCTTCAATTTTGTTGTTAGAGCAGCTGCCCACAGACGCCCTGCAATTCAAATGTGCTGTTGTGCTAAGCAGTGTTATATCCTGTTTGTGTGACTGGGTGAGAGACAGAAAAAGGGAGATACAAGACAACAGATGTCCTTGCATACTAAAGGCAGGGCTGCGTGATAAGGCTGGAATGCTTTCACAATAAAATGTTCATATTGTCCATATGAAAAATTAACTCCACCAAGGAGGTTATGCTTTTATTGGCTTTTTGTATGTTTCTCTGTCAGCAGGATTACTCAAAAACTACTGATGTGGTTTCCATGAAGTTTTATGGAGGGGTGTGTTATGACCCAAAGAAGAACCCGTTTATAGACTAGTTTTGGCTCAATTGCGGTTTTAAACTCATCTTTTTTTTAAAGATATTTTTGGGGCATTTTACCTGATAGGACAAGCAGCAAGAAGCCCGGGACAGAAACGAAACTTGCTGCAGGAGGACTCAAGCCTCTGTATGATTAGTTACAGCATAATCTCATGGAAACAATAGTTTTACTGATTACTTCAGGGTAGTTCCAGCTCTTTATCACCCGTCCTGCCTTTCACATAGTAATGATCTCTGGGATTGAATCACTGTGCAAACTGGAAACTCTCAAACCTCAGGTGAGAAACACTGGACAGTTGGTTGAATGCTTTGCTGTTTAAAATCTGAGGTATATGTATACAGATGAATGTATGAATCAATACAAACACAAAAACAATATTCTACCATGTCAGGGTTTACATTGCTGATGGTGGGCACTTTGGGAAGTCACAGTACGGAACATGTTTATTGCTAAATGCACATTTTACTCACCAGCATGACAACACACCAGTTGAGGATTCCCCTGTAGTTGCTGTAGCCGCTGGCCGAGCTCAAGAGAGACTCCTGCAGGACGTGACAGCTGCAAGACAACACAGGGCCCACAGTTTTACTGAAGACTTAGTCATCTTTCTTTACCTTTGCATAATCACGACCTCAGGGATTTGATCACTGTGCAAACTAGTAACTCTCAAACCTCTGTTAAGAAACACAGGACTGTTTGATGAAATCACAAATACTTAGAAATACCACTGTGAAGAAACCAGACAGACTGATTTAAACTTCAAGTGGCCTGACTGGATTATTAGGCAATTTCTAAAGAAACTTTGTCCGTTCCATTTTTCTTTGAAATGAATTAATCACATGAGGTCGCAACAGACAATGAAAAATTTTAGAAATTAAGGTGAAAGGTATTTTACATTGTTTAAACTGAGGTTAGGCAATAACGTTTACAGCACCTGACAGAGAAGAAACAGAGAGGAGATGAGCGAGAAAGGAGAGGAGAGCAGGAAGGAAAGAATATTATATTAAGAAGGAGGGAGAATTCTAAAAGAGGTAAGAAGACAGAAATAATAGAAAGTCAGAAAAAGTGGAAGAAAAAGAGGGAAGAGCTGACGAGTTCCAGGAGCAAGACCAGACCAGCAGCAGAACGTGCAGATATAGACGTAGTCACATTATTGCAAAAGCACATGCCATTGTTGTTTGTCAGTAACCGTGGCGCAGGAAGTGACACTATACTTATCTAGTTGGGAAGAGTCCAGTGTAAGTACTATAATAACTGAATTTCAGCTTCCTTTAAACTACAAATAATAACTTAATAATGTATTATTTTCACTTTATTATGTTATTATTTGTATAAATATACAAGTTTAATGAGGAGTAAGAGAGGATCGGTGCCTAAATATATAACAATATATGTAAGGTAAGTTACAAAAACATCAACAACATGAAGGAAAAACTACTACTAACACTGGACAAAAATAAATATAGATGAAGTAGTATTGGAAATGACAAATGAGAAGCAAGTATTGCACATGATAATGACTCCAATATCGCAAATTAATATAATACTGTAAATAATATAATATAATAGTGGAAGTGATATTACTAATGAAGTGATATTGAAGTAATGTTACTCATAAAGGGATATTWCWAATGAAGTGATATTGAAGTAATGTTACACATGAAGTGATATTACTAATGAAGTGATATTGAAGTAATGTTACTCATAAAGGGATATTACTAATGAAGTGATATTGAAGTAATGTTGCACATGAAGTGATATTACACATCAACTTGCAGCTCTTCCTTATCTTTCCACATGGTACTAAGTCTAAATCAAAAACCATCATACCTGCACTTGTCGTGTCTGGACCATTTAATCCCAGAGAAGCAAAACACTATTTGTGACAGAAACCTGACAAAGGGAGGATAACGTGGTATTATTTTTAAATCAGTGTCTACCTGAGTCTCTCGTTGATATCCTCCGCTGCACTCCTCTCCTTCCTCGGACTGTCTGCGAGCTGCTGCCCGGACATCTCTCTGCATTCCCCGGGGTGTCCCTGCACCTCGTCCTCTGTTTTGGATTTGGCCGGATGCTGTCGAGGTTTCTCCCCCACGTCGTGCAACTTGCTGCCGTTCGCTTGCCTCCCCGTCGCCGCTCCGCCGCCGCCAGCAGCGCCGGAGATGGTCGTCCTCCTCCGGCGGTTCGCGGGCCCTCTCGCATCGGCTCTGTCGCTCATGTCGGCGGCTGTCGTCTTACATTAGCCCGCCTGCCATCGCTGATGAAGCTGATATGAAGCGTGTGCGCGGCGGGGAGAGCCGGTGAGTCAGCGGTGACTCTGCTGGAGGAGCTTCATCCGCTCAAGGTGCACTTTGACAGCAGGGTTGCCAGGTCTGCACAAGTTCCGGATCAGCTTCATAATACTGGGATTTCCTGCTTACGTATATCTTCGGCCATTATAAAATGTGAACTCTAGACAATAACACCTACCTCACTAGATATACACTTCTATTCATGTATATTATACATTTATATAGTGAGCTCGTGGGCATGAGAAAAAAGTCGCTTTCAGATACTTTTTACGGGATATTTTCTCTACACTGGTAATGACGTCATATTGCAGGATTATGACTCCTGGTGATATATTATAATAATATATATTTTACATTTATTATTAATACACTAAACGGGATAGTTCACCCAAAAAGGAAAAGTCACTCATTAACTACTTGACTATGTCGATAGACGGGTGGGGGAAGTTTCAGCTTCCAATACAATTGAAGTAAATGGGGAACGATTTTAAACACAACAACTGAAAATATATAAAATGCCTATAAAATGTCCTCCAAGTGAACGCAAGCCCCGAACGTTAAAATTTGCCTCGAATCGGCATCTACATCATGTTTTTAGCCTCAATGCCAATGTTCCTGCTGCATTTCTCGCGAGAACTCGTGACAGCTGAAGTTACTGAAGAGCAAAGACATCATTGCTTTTTACAACACATCCGTAAACCATTTCAATTTCAGTGTGGTTTCCGGACATGGATAATGTATATGATATAGGTTTACAAACACATATCAGAAACACAAACTGGATGACATGACCGCTCTCAATAGTGAAGCCAAAGTGTCTCAGTCGCCACCTGGTGGCTGGTGTCAAAACGTTCAAATACATTTTCTCCAACATGGTTTCTGGCGTTATCGATTGTTTCTTATCACACTGATGTATGTTCAGGTCTTCAATTTTCTGTTGAGTTTGGTTTTAAACAGTTATTCCATGCTATTAAAATGGTCGTGATCGTTTCTTACTGCTATTTAATGTTTTACATTTTTAAAATAAGCAATCTTTTTATCTTTCTCGTTAACTAAGATTTTATTGTTGTTTTATCCTCTTTTGAATAATTTTGTGTCTTTGTTGAGAAAATTGTTCATATATTATTATTATTGATAGTAATATTATTATATACTTTTGTAATATTATTATTATTATTATTATTAGTAGTAGTAGTAGTAGTATTAATAAGCATCTGTAGACGTGTATAAACTGTTTCCAGCTCGAGTCGGACGAAAGCCAATCCCATGCGTGCGCTGCGTCACGTGTGATTTTCCACCAATTGCAGCGCGCCGGGGCTGATGACAGTCTGAGCTGCTTCCGGTGTCAGGCAGCTGCTGTCGGTCTGGAGAGTTCTTCGTGTTTTTATCTGATAAATAAGATTTTTTAATCGTGAACTCGTTCATGACGCGACACACACTCACTTCTTCCGTCGTCAGTTTTTAAAGGGGATGAAAAGGCTCAAGAGGAAGAAACAAAACGCGGGTTTTGCGGTGAATGAGAATGGCTCTTCCTCAAGAGGTGAGTCAACCACACATGAAGCAGCTAAGTACAGATCAACAAAGGTAAAATTAATATTAATACACGTCAACTCACGTCAACACAACTGTCTCGTTAAAACCCGCCTGTGTATTTATATACAGTCTGTGGTATTTATACATGTCCCTCTAATGTCTGCACAGACAGAAACTACATCAGAGTGAAGTATGTGTGAAATGTCAGTGAACTTAATACTCTTAGTGCAGCCTGTTGACACGGACTGACTCTAATCACCAGCTGTGTGTTTGTAACCTGCTTCTAATCTTTATTCATCTGTTGGTGAGAGGAAACTTTAACCACTCATCTGCTGGTGCTGCCTGCGTGGCGTCTGTCTGTCAGAGCCAACATGGAGACTATTCTTTGTTTCTAAGTGTCATCACTGAGTTCATTATTCCACACTTGGTTCCAAACTTCATGTTTCACGTATTGATATGATAATCTGATAGTATACTAGTTGTTTGTTAAAGATCAAGACACTTTATACTTCTGAATAAAGCTGGAGGACTTGTCAAATTTTGCTTAAATGCAGTCGACAAAACTAGTAAGAAATCATTTTGATTTGCTTTGATAAAATGGCAAAAATCGTTTTAACATTAAATGTTAAAACTATCATCCTCACAAATATATACCTTTGGAAGTTTCACAATCAATTAGACTTTTATTTATCCTACAAATCATGACATTTACAAAGTTTCCTGACATTATATATACGAAATAGGGCTGGATAATATATATGTCTGTATATACACATTATATTATATATATTGAACCTTTTTTTGTTATTAATGAAATGTATGGTGCTTTAATTATTGATATCATTATGTTGCCCTGCCCTAATTCGAAATTATGAATTTTTTAACCAAGAAAATAATAAGCAAATCATTTGGGCATAAACATAAGACTGTAGGCTTCTTATGAGTTCATTTGTCTTTACATGTTTAATTCAGATGATTCCTAGCATCTGTTTATATTCTCAACATGACTTCTCAATATATTTCTTCTCTTTCATCATTACTCTCCCTGTCCCTTATCCTTTCTTCTTTCCCCCCCTTCTTCTGTCTCGTCTCCCCTCCCTCTGTCTTCTCTCTTTCTTTCTTCCATCCCTCCATTGTTTTCTTCCCTCATAATCATCCCTCCTCTTTCTCACCCTATTTGTTATCTGTCATCCTCTCATCTTTGTCCCTCCTTTACAGAACTGGATTGTGGGAGGAAACAGAAGTTGGCTGAGATCCATCGGGCTTTGATCAGGTTATAATCATATTATCTTTTACAGTCTGACCATGTATTGCACATGTATTGTCCTGCTCTTTATGGCATGTAAGAGGTCATATTATTTTAAATCATTTTAAAACTCATTTTATTTTCTCATTTAGAACAGCTCTAGTTAAACACTATTGATCTATTTTACAGGTAAATGATGTCATCTGATTTTGATGAAGAAAGACTATATATACAAATTTACTACGGTGTTCTGGACTTATCCAGTTAATATAATGTTGTCATCAATGAATAGATTTTCCCCCAAAATGTCCTTAAATCACCCTTTTTTAGAATCCAAACAGGTTTTCATGTTTCTATTAGCACTGGAGCAAGAGGCCACATTGTGTTTTTTTCATTTGGAAATGCTTCTCCCTCCGCTCGTCCAACTTGCCGTTCCACAATTAGATGACATGCATTTTATCCGCTGCACAGTGACCTTCATCGCCCCCTGCTAAGCTAATTTCACACATGACGATTACTCACATGTGCCCAGAGGAATAGTGCGATGGGGATCATGAGGAGGAGGAGGCATGTGAGATGATATGTGAAATGCGCAGGAATTCTCACGAAGAGGAGAACAAGATTAATGAAATTAATCAAATAACAAACATGTCCAACAATCAGCTGAACAATATTAAAACAATAGATTCATCTTAGACAACTGGACACACGTGTATGTTCAGGACAGATGCTTCAGTGTCAGAAAGATTTAGAGGGAACATAGTAACTAAATTTGACTGATGCAAGTTAATTTGTGACAGAAACAGATGAGACTGAAAGAAAATAAATGTAAGAGCTGGTATAAGTTGTGTTTTCGCTTAATGGCTAGACTTTAACTCTGTGCAATATTTTCCAATCCTGACTTTTCATTGTGCAGTGATCCAGTCGACATTGAGACCCTGAGGACAACAGCAGGCAGTAAAGGTGGACTCCTCACTGATGAGCTCAGGAGGAAAGTTTGGCCCAAACTACTGAACATCAACGTCTATGATCTACCACATAAACCTGGTTAGTGGATGATTGATATTAATACTCACTTGTTGTCAGAATACTGCATGACACTACTGTTTGTGCAGGTAGTAGTTAGACTTATAATAACACCGTTTCTTCTGTTGCAGGTCGGGATGTGAGGGAAAACCACAAAGACTACAACCAGGTGCTCCTGGATGTCAGGAGATCCATGAAGCGGTTCCCTAAAGGTGTGTGTCTCTGTGTCCATGTGTTTGCTATCTCTAAAGATAGCAGCATAGCGGACAGTGCCATTTATCACACTGTACCCCTGTACTCACAGCAATATGCAGATATCTGGCGAAGCTTAATAATTAATCAACTAAAAGCTCCACCAGGGCTTGACATTAGTGTCTGAAGAAAGCCTGAGCTGTCAGACAAAAAGTATTTACAATTTAAGAGAAGCAACAGAGAAAAGTGTCTTACCTAAATGTGAGGGAGTCAATTTAATCTGAGTTGGTTGTGGATTTTTAGACATGGCTGAAAAAAGAAAAACAGCAGGAATGAGACAAAGTTTGATTCACCATATTAAATCCTTAATTCAGTTGATTTCAAATTTTACAAAGTGGCAATGACAAAGTTACCTAGTGTTTTCATGAAGTCCTTCCCTCGTGTGGCTGCCCAGGCTTTATCAGTCTCTGAGAAAACCAACCACTGTCTCTGTTTAACAAGATTTTCTGTGGTTGAACCTGCTGATCCTCAGGAATGCCATCCTCAGAGAGAGCCGTGCTTCAGGAGCAGCTGATGGACATCATACTGAAGGTTTTGAAACGTAACCCTCAGCTCCATTACTATCAGGGCTACCATGACGTGGCCGTCACTCTACTGCTGGTTGTTGGGGAGCGAATGGCCATTGCCATGTTGGACACCCTCTCCAATTATCACCTCAGGTTGTCCATCTTTCCAGAATCTCGAATTTTAGATTTTGTTTTTACATGCCAGTAATATTCAACTTTTGTGTTTGTTGTCTGTGTGCAGGGATTTCATGGATCCTACCATGGACAGCACTAAACACATTTTAAACTACCTGATGCCTATACTGGAGCAAGTCGATGCAGAGCTGCATGACTTCATGATCAGGTACACAAAGGCAAAGACACCATTTAGTGAAATGTACTGTTGATGTCACCAGTGGATATCAGCACTTGCATACATCTAATTTCTTAAAACACTATGCACAATGTTAGTTGTTTTTTAAGATATACATATTTAGATTTTTTTAATTGCAGCTTGTTTTGTTCTTGTTGAGTTTGAAACCTATTTTAAGTCACTTTGGATGAACCTCTGCTTAAATGAAGGTAATGTAATGTAATGTAATTACCACTAGAGGGCATCAAAGTGCTGATTTTCCTCTGCTAGTTCCACAGAAAGATCATCACTGTGTCGTGTTGCTGAATTTCAAAAATTGAAAAAGCACAAGATTCAAAAACTGACATAGAATGGTTTCTATAAGAATATGAGATTTAAAAAAGCAGAACTTTGAAAACACGTCAGACTGTCTTTAAACATTAGTGGCCTCTGTGTTCTTTGCCTCTTGTAGAGCGGAGGTGGGAACCATCTTTGCATTGTCCTGGCTCATCACATGGTACGGCCACGTCCTGTCAGAGTTCAAACACACACTCAGACTCTACGACTTCTTCCTGGCATCACATCCACTGATGCCCATCTACCTGGCTGCCACGGTAAGACGACAAGCTGACAGTAAATGAGCAAGAGGCAGTAGCTTTGTTTTGACAGAAATCCAGACACACACACACACACACACACACACATTCACAGAGTGAGGCAGAGCACTGTGAAGTCACTGAACTAGTTAATTAGATACCTCCTAATGAACAGATGAGAGAGAGAGTGAAAGAAGGGTTCAGAAAGATGGAGGGATAGATAGAAAGAGGAAAAAGGAGGAAGCAGAATGATGAGAAGAGCTGACTGATATTTGATGGAGAAGGAGGAGAGACAGATGACGAAGAGTTTTTGATGTTTCTGTTTTCTCACTCTGGAGTAGAGTCTTCAGTCTGACACTCGTTCATAATTACTACTCGCTACAGTCGTGTGCTGCAGGAGCATGGATGTGTGAGATATACACTGTAAATAAAGATGGACAGCATGACAGCTCTTCAAAAGGGAAGCCAAAGCATTTTGTTTGCCATCTGGTGGCTGGCTGCAGTATAGGTCATAAACCATGTCTACCCCATGTTAGTGAATGGGATATTGACCAAAATGAAGTCATGGTACACATCATATACACTTTTCTCAAAGATGTTTTCTCTCAGTTTAGGTTGTTCTGTTCACACTGATGGATGTTCGAGTGTTTTTCTGATGAGTTTGAAGGATGGTTTAAAAAATGGGGTGAAACATCATCGACAGCTGAGACTGACTTGTGATTGGTCGAGCATGTAAATGGACGTGACCTTGTGGATAGTGGGAAGAAGTAGAGGCACGTCCTCCATCTTTATATACAAGTCTATGTTTGCTCGTGAAAATCATTTGTTTTGTGAGTCTACATGTGTCCTTTCAGTTGTTTTTGTTGCATACTTGTGTGTGACGAGGCCCATTTTATATACATGAAGGGTTTTGAGTATGTTTAATATTGTGTACATTTTGTTTGTTTACTAATGTGTGTGTTTGTGTGTGTGTGTAGAGGCTGGGCATAGAGAGAACTGTGTTTGAAGTGTGTGAAACAACAAAGCAGAATGTAGTTCATGTTTCCTCCAAGGCTGAGTACAGCTCACAGCATGGGGGGGGTGTTAACTCTTCATCTGCCTGTCTTGCTGCCTTGCTCTGCTTCACTTGATAAGAACTGAAAACAGCCAACATACAACACGTAGGCTGTAATTCATATTTCACCACATTCTCGTACCTCAGGGTGAAAACGTTTATCTCCTCATCCTCTCCTCCTCAGATTGTGTTGCACAGAGAAAAGGAGGTGAAGCAGACCGAGTGTGACATGGCCATGGTCCACCACCTCCTGTCGCGCATCCCTCAGGACCTCCCATATGAACTCCTGATCGCTCGGGCCCAGGAACTTTTCAGCCAGTACCCGCCATCATTACTGGCCAAGCGGGCAGCACTGCAATCTCGCAAGAGGTGAGGAGGCAATTACTGAAATGAAATAGAAATGGTAATGCTGCTTAATAAACACACAGGGCGTCACATATAGACTCCAGACTTAAAACCAGTGAGACTAATAGGGTGAGAAACATAACGTCTATTTATTTTTAACATATTTATTATGTCACCTGTGTGTGTAAAGCAAAAATAGAGACACAGCTACTCTCTCTCTCTTCCCATAGTCTATCATTGTCTCTCTCTCTCCCTGTCAGTGTTACTTACAGACATTGTTTAGGGCAGGAAGTGACATCACTGACGTGGGAATTGGACTGACTGACACTGAAAGATACTGATGTCCAATAATGCACAGTTCCCAATACACAGGAGCTACTGCATTAGCACTTTTTTCAGATCGCCTCTAACTCTCTTCCTCACCTGTTTGATCCGTCACTTTACCATACGTCCATCTCCTCATTTAATTCCCTCTGTTAGTGCTTCGCCTCAGACATTTTCCCATCTTCCTCTATTTCATCCTTTTCCCCCTCTTTTTTCTCCCTCTCTAGTTTGTCCATCAGCACCTTCCAAGCGTTTCAGCTCTCCACTCTGCATCAGAGGCCAGACTCTGTTCTCCAACGCCTCACCAGGGCCCAGGGCTCCTCCACCTCCAGACAAGGTAAAAATAACTGTAATCTTACAACAGAAGGAATCCCCACATACACACAGTACGGACACGTGAATTCTTGTCAGGTACTCTGTGAAGTTGGTGAAAAAGATGAATATTTATTGTGAGATTTTAAAAACAAATTTTTCTACCGGACCGAAATCTTTCGATGGATCCACACATTTTTTGTGCTTTTCTGTTCTCTACTTGGGAGAACAATTCTTCCAATCCAGGCAACAGTAAATATGTCATCCCCCCACAAATGCTGCCTTTGGGCCAATCAATAACGAGTAAACAAATGTTGTAGCACCCCCATCAGACCAATCAAGTGCACATTAAAATATGCCAGAAGAGAACAAAGAGAGGCATCATTCCCGTATAGGTTTTGGGAAAACCTGATTAGCGGCACCTGACACGTTGTGTGTGTGATGTACGAGTAATCAAAAGTGTGTCGTAGAATTTCCCTCAGGCCAAACGGTGGTAATAATAAAACTGATGCACGCCGTTCTTTGCGGTTTCATCAAAATTCAATTAGCAGCATCTTAGACGAAATGCAAAACAGAAAGAGGGAGGGCCTATTTATGGCATTCCCTGGTTTCACTGTGGCAGATGATGAATTGTGACTTGAAAGTTGTGACTTGAAAGTTAAAACCTGTAAGATTTTCATATTGCATCCCATCTCCAATACTGTTTGTAGTTTGCATTTCAGTGTATGTGCATCATGTAGTCTAGAAGGTGAAATGTCCAATTTTGAACTTGGGGATAATAGTTTTTTTAAATTCTCAAATGCACTCAAAATATCAAAATGCATTTAATTGTCAAAGATAGATTATTTTACTTTAAGTTGCGTATACTTTCATGGAATTAATGTGTGGATAAATCTGATAATGTTAATTAACTTTCATTGTCTCTTTTCACATAAGCAGAAGGGACTCACAGAATACTCAGCATGCACAAACCGCACATGATGCTGACGACAAAAGCTTTCACAAACTGTTAAGAACAATATTCGATCATGTGTTCACTATCACTGTGTCAGATAACATAATAGTCTTTTTTTAATTCTACCTAATTAAAGGGCTGCTCTGCTCCAGGGACTTTTCAATCGTTATTTGATCCTTTTAGCTTTAACTAATGTAGTTTAATAAAACGGCTCTGAAATTAATCCAACTTCCATAAAGATTGTAATATTCAGTTTATGGTTAATTCAACTGTTTCAGAAGTGTTTTGATTTCATTTATGTCTTTATACTTAGAGGTGAATCTAATATTTATATAAGTGTCTGGGCAAAATAATAGAAACACGTGTCAGTACGACACAGCACCACAAATCAAACATTTTCATCAAACTCTGATCTTTGCTTAATGAAGACATAAATAATTGATGGACTGCTAAATTAAACTCTTTAGTTAGGTGTACTTAATAAACTGGTTACTGAGTATGACTCGAGGTAAAGTCGTTAACCATTTGGCCTTTAGGTTAATTAAGTACTGCTGTTATTATTATGTAGAATCGGTTGTTGTTATATTTAATGGATTGTGATATTTTGACCCCTCCTTGTCTCTACTCCAATTGTTTTGACTTTCCTTGACCCCCAGTTTGTTTCCGATCCCAATAACAAAATGGAGCTTGAGCCTCCTTTGGTTTAGCTTCAAGCGTTCTGAAACCTCTTGACCCCTCCTTGTCTCTTACCCTCGTTGTCTTGGGCTCATAGCCTCTCAACACTCAGGCCTGGAAGCGGCTTTACCCCAGGACCGTGGCCAGCTGTGGGGGAAGGGGAACAGGATGGTGAAGATGGCAGTGTGGGGGCTGTCTGCCACGCTCGGGGCGGCTGTGTTCGCTGTGGCTCAGACGGCCATGGACTGGGGACCTGAGGTGTTACTGCAGCTGTTCTGACGTGGCGGTGGGCGAATAGACTGTTAGACACACACAGAGTGACACATGGTGACAGTGAACACACGTCTGCCCTCATGATGGATCAACAGCATACATACACAATGGACTTGAAGCTGCTCAGAGGGGATGTTAGGTCGAGAGAAGCAGGAGGTCACTTATCTTGGTGCTGAACAGGTTATTGCTTCTTAACCACAATGAACATATGCTAACCACTAGTCAGCCTCAGGCTGTGTGTGCATGTGTGTGAGCGGGTGCATGCATTTCTGTGTTTCTATGCATCATGTCAGACCTCATACCAAACGTCGGCCCGGTGAAGGGGAAGCTCCAGGAACCGACTGTTATCGTTTCTTTGTGTAAGTTCACTAAAACAACGACAAAGAACTTTGGATAAAAAATGCAAAAGTACCAAAACAAATACAAAATGATTTCAGGACACACAAAACAAATACATACCAAAAAAAAGATGCAAAACGACCTCAAAGATGCCAAATGACTACAAAGAGAAGCAAAACAACCACAAAGAGACACAAACGACTTCAACAATCCAAAAATACACAAAGAGACAAAAACAACTACAAAGAGATGCAACACGATCTGAAAGAGATAGAAATGAGAATAAATGGGTGCAAAAGAACTACAAAGAGATTCACCCACAAAAAAACAGAAAGTGATACCAAAAGAAATGAAATGACCACAGACACTCTGGTGTTTCTTCAGCGTAGGATCGGAGGAGTTCTGTTACATGTTTGTGCCCATGGGCCCGTTGTCTCATAATCCGTTCATGCACGTGTGACACTAACACGTCTCGCTCCTTCAGGCTGTTGCTCACATGCCACTACTATTGCAACATTTTACACGCGGCTCTGTGTATTTCCTGTTAGCTGATTATTTTGCAGATAACTTGTTCTTAGACCATCACTCTTGTTTTGTTGCATTTCCGTTGAAAGTGTTTTAGCGCGCCTGTGTGATCACGTCGGGCAGCCAGTAGTGCTGCTAGCACAACGACACACGACTGCAAATAATTAAAGAGCAGCGTTTTTCTACCTAAAGCTTCCAGTTATGAACAAAGAAGGAAAGCGAGAGAGAGAAAGGGAGATATTTTTGCCTGTGAGCTTTTTATTAATTGCTTAACTCCAGGTGTCATTGAGTTACATTTACAGTAATTTTGTAAAAAGCTGTTGCTGCCAGAAACATGAAAATATCCCACAGTTGAGCCTTTAAGTAAAAGCAGTGGGTCTTTTGCGGATCCATTGTTCTGGGGGAAAACCATATTTTTCAAAGTAATTTTTGTATTTTCTGTGGCAGTTTTCTTGCTGTCTGGCCCACCACTGCTGAAAGAATACGGGGAAGACATCACTACTTTTACATCTTTAAAATATTTAGTAGGTTTGAGCCAACATCGACCCTGAACAGCCGTCAACAGAACTACACTACATAGACTCAGTTCTTCCCCAACATCATGTTTCTCTTCCAAATTCAATTGCTTTGCTGTAAAACGATTTTATGGCTACAATTTGTGGACAGTCCAAGTAATTATTTTAACAGTATAAGGAGTTTAAATACGTGCATCTCTTCAAAATACACCACCCACACACTCACTGTAGATATTGTTGGACCAGATGTAATCACAGAGTTTCATAACCTAAAAAGTGACTATTAATAATACAGGTGAGTTACATACATAGGTACAGAGCAGTGGGGCTCCTCCGAACAGCAACGCATGCTCTGGTTGTTGACTTATGTTCTGAAATATTTAGCAGCTTTTAGTAGCATGTAGCCAAGCTGCAGCATTTGTTAACACAGTTTCACTGGAGTCACAACACTCGGCTTCCTGCACTTCCTCTGTTGTCGGAGATGAAAGTGTCCAATCTGTCGTGTTGACTTCACTTGCTTCAGAGCATCTGTAGCATCGGGTGTGTACAAAATTACAGAGAAGTAGCAGATCACGAGTAAACAAAAGTAGGAAATGACTACTCGGAAATAAATTGACATTTGAAAATTCTGCAATATGAATCTTTTTGTTGAGGCTCGCAGGGCTGAGTGAGTAACAAGAATGTCATCTTGGTTGGTGATAATCAGTTAGTCATTTTATTAGATAATCAAAACTGATTAACAATTGTTGGCTGGCTTGTAAACCAGTTGGCTGCTGAATAAGTCGGTAATTCAAATCACAGTCAAGTTAACAACCTGCGTTTCATTACGCACTGTGAAATACAGTGAGTGTGTGTGTGTGGTCCAGTTAGAACTCATACTGTGAGGAGTTGTTTAGTCACATTACAGTGACTAAATCCAAGTCCCCATAACGTACATGATTAAAAATTTAAATTGAAGGTTAGGGTTGTAGTTATGGTAAGAGCAAGTCTCAGGGTAATGAATGTAGGTCAATGTATTTTCATGTAGACGTGCGTGTGTGTGTGCGTGTGTGTGTGCGTGTGTGTGTGTACTACAGTTCTTCATTAGCTTTCTGGGCATATTCTGTGTTTTTATTTGTTCAACATTTTGATTCACTGTGTGCCTCTTTATTATCTCTCGAAAGTCAACTTATTTATTTCAAGTGCAACAATCTAATTGGCTATTTAGTAAATGGGTACATATTATTTGAATTATATGAATGAAATCTGAAGGTTTTTAACTTTAAAAGTTATTTTGCATGTAAGAATCAGACTAGATGTTAAAGGAATCATTTTAAAACTGTTCCTTTAAATGTTTTGCTTGTGTGCCAGTTCATTTTGTAGTTTAATATTATAATTAAATGATTTTGCAAAGGGAACATGTTCAGTTGTTATGGTGAATGGTTGGCCTTGATTTGTTTCACTCTTCTCTATTACACAAACAGCTCATTGTGAAGTGAAGGTCTCAGTTTGCTGACCTTCAAATGAATTGTATGTAATTGTGCATCTGGTGAGTCATATAACATCACTTTATCTTTATTCTGTTAACACTTGATTAGTCGCCTAATTCATAAATGTGCAGGAATAAAACCCTGTTGATCAGGTTGTGTGATCTTCAACACAGCCCTAGATGCTACTGTGTAGTCATATATGTGCCATGTATGCACACTTACAAACAGAACACACACACACACACACACTGGGAGAGAGTGGTGGTGCTGCTGCCAGATCCTAATGAGGGTTTAATTCCTGCCGCCGGCTCTTGGCGCGCTTAAGACATTTTCTCCTCATCTTTTTTCTTCACATTCAAACACCTAGACAAGCACCTGCACTGGCCTCAGCCTGGGATGAAAAATGATTGAAGCATGTTTCTCAGTTTGAGTGAAACCAATGCAAAATGTAAAAGTTGCTCAAGGTGTCGAAGCTAGCTCCAAAATATATATATTTGTACAAGTTTCAGGGCCATAAAATCAATGAGACACACTATGTGAGTTATATTTTAGGAGAAGTAAACAGAAAATAGAGGACACAAAATTTTATTTGACTATTGCATTGATTTACTGATGATTTATTCATTTGTAAAAAACAAAGTCGCATAAAGGATTCATTGACAAAGTGTTTCTTTTAATCAATTGGACCAGATCTCGTCAGTTTTATGTGGATTATAAAAGAAGAGATGTAAAAAAGTGCAATAAATTTGACAGGTTTTTGAGTCATGTAAAGAGCTGACTTTTCATGGAAGTATGTGTATTGTATGAAGCCCCAAGAGCCCGTGTTGAGCCCCTGATGACTTTCTTTCCTCTCATCAGGTTGAAAATTTCCCAAAAGACTCAAGACTCACAAATGCAAAGTGCAAATTTCAAGCTTTTAGTTTTGTGTGTATACATGATTGCTTTGGGCATTTTAGTGCATGTTTTCATGACGATGGTTAAGAGATACACATCATATCGTGGAACATATCGAGTTCTTTGCACCTTAATGTATTGAAATGTGTGTTTTACATGTAAGTGAAACCTCTTTCTCTCTATGAAATCAAACGGTGAATAAATGTCAAAGGAAACACTGCATTGCTACACTGTGAAAGTTCATTCTTGACATTTCTAACACTAGTTTAATTTTGAAAATTTTATACAGAACAAACGTGGTGTAATGTCACCCAACATTCAACCTTAACTGCCCATGTTTGCATGTGTGTCTGTGGGCGTGTGTTCATTTATTTCAAGGCTGCGCATCTGTCCATCTCACCCCCAGGGACACGAGGGAGCAAATCAGAGCAGAGACATGAGGTGAGGCAGAAAGGCAACGGTTAAAGATGAGCGAGGGATGAGGGGGAAAGATTAATACCGTAGAAAAAGACATCTGGTGGACGTGTCGGAGGTAGCTGAGGTCTTGGAGAACGTGTGTTTAAAAGCAGTCCCCTGAGGATTTCTAATGAGCCGGAGTGGAAGTGAGCGTGGGTCTGATCAGAGTGGAGAGCAGATGTGGAGAGGGATGGTCTGAATTTATACTCGAGGCCGTCTGAAGGTGTTATGGCCCTAATTTCAACAGTAAATGATGACCGGGATCCCTCCACACACACACACACACAGACAGACACACACACACAGACTCACCATGTCTGATTCTAGGTGCTCACCCTGAACAACTCCTGGCATTCTGTGAGGTTGCATAAGCTTGGCAACAATCTGTGTGCGTGCGAGTGAGTGTGTGTACTATAGCTTAGAACACACAAAGGAGAAACACAAAGGAACAGATTGGAGGTTAGTGAAGAAAGTAGGTAGTGTATGTTTGAGCGCAGCCAGAAAAAAAAGTGTTGTGTATGTGTGCGTGTGTGTGTGTGAAACATTGGGCATGCTGGGGACAACAGCTGCTCCAGGGGATTGTCTGATGTCTTTTTCCCCCCCTGGTGACATCACACACACACACACACACACACATTCTCACAGCCTCAGTGCCACCAATAACAGGAGCAGCAGCACCTCGACGTTCACTGCTGAGCCATAACAGAATGACTTTTCTTAAAATTCATTCATTGGATTCAGTTGCGGGGACGAGATGAGTTCATGTTGCTCGTCTAATTCGTGCTTTTTGAATTGATTGAGTTGATCTTGTCCCTCGGGTCTGTAACCCTGGAACTGTGCCAAGCCTTTAATTAATTGGTGTCATGGTACTGTTTAAAAAAAACTGCATGAAAATCAACTGTAATTATCTTGGGATGAATGAAAATTGGGAAAACCACAGAATGAAGCGAAGCTCTACTTGTTCATGTCAGCTAACCTCCAACTTTAATATCATTTGGACGTAGTGCTGCACTATTAACTCCAACTTTGCTGATAAATGTCGGTCAGTGTTCACCAGCTAGTTACTAACTTGTCCTGTGGGTTGTTTGGTGCTGGTGAGGGGCAGTGACAGTTGGTTCATTCCATGCGCGCCTTGATCCCACTCGCAGCCCTTCACTCTGTCATGGATCAGAGAACATGTTCCACAGTGTTTTACAGGCAACACACGTGCAGAATATCCCTGCCCACTCGTGACTTTACAGCCAACCAGAGGACTGTGTGTGCGTGTGTGTGTGTGCGTGTGTGCGTGTGTGTGCATGTGTGTGGGGGGGCCTTTGTTTTTAGCATTTATGACAGTGTAACATTGTACTAACTGCAGAGACATCACCTCATCAACCTCATCTCAGGGTTTCTACCAATCCAATCCAATTTCGCCCTAATTTAAAGCATAGAACTCATTTAGATGAGGCCATGCACAAAAACTGAATTGAAAGCCTGACATTAATGATGTGAGTTTGGAAACACTTTGTTTTATAATGTATACATTTATTGTAGAAGTGTCACGTCTGTCTCATTTAAAACCTGAATGATGAGTGAATTTGACCAGATTTAATTTACTTTTCAAGAGATTCTCTTTTGTAACTGTTGAACATTGCAGTGGTTATATCTCCAAGCAGACACGGTGTTATTAAAAGATATGTGAATAGCAAAATCAAACTAAACAAACAAGAAAAGCCTTTAGATAAAAAAAATCCCATTAAGATAGTGAAATCATCAACACACTGCGGTAGATAATTACACTGAGTTGTGAAATAACAGGACATGCTAGCAGCTGTGTGCGGCTGTATTTAGTCACAGCGGGACACTGAGGGGATCACCAAAATTTAATGTTAATCCATCCAATAGCTGCTGAGTTATTTTAGTCAGGAGCAATGTGGCGGATTAACACTGACATCCCCAAAGCAATGCCACTAGCATGGCTAAGAATAGCAATATTAATATTATTAAGAAGTGGCAATATAGAAAATTTCACAAGAAAGAAAGCCATTAAATTAAAGCAAGTAGTCTTGATGAGAATATAAATGTCAACATACTAGTAGATTCATATTGTGGACAAAACTAGGACCAAGTTGAAAACATCTGTCAGGTGTGATTCAGCAAAGTGAAACTTTAAAAGTCAAATGTGTTTTTACTGCTTTCAGCTTCTAACACAGTCATATCACTGTGAATCTCTGATAACCCTCGGGCCTCATTAGCTTAAACCAGGCCTGGTCCATACAGCTCTATTAATACCAGATACTCATTACGCCGTGTGAGCGTTTGGTTTGCGTCTGTGTGGACACTTGGGACTGACCTCCTGTGCCTTTCACACAT